CAGAGCCTGCCTGAACATGTACACGCATATGCGTGTACATGCGGGTGACTATGCTTGTGTGTGTGAACATAAGTATCCCCTCGCTCTGCAAGACACTCTATTACCACAAACACAAGTCTGCCCAGTCCAAATGGTCCTCAAAGCGACGCTCAACAACAAAAATAGAAAGTATATCGTTACCATCTCAAGGATTCGTGGAGGTGGACGTAACGCGACTCTCCGTCAATCACAAAGCTTCGCCCTCCCTCGTAATACGTAAATTGGTCGTCTCTGATCGCGATTTTACGCTTCTGATTGGCAGACTTGTTTGAAACTCTGGCGATCTCGTACACCGAAGCCAAAGATATCCTGTGTGTCATTCACTGTTATCCGATAAATTGGCCGTTGATTTTTAAAGCCGATTACGAAAATATTTTATATCATTTCTTTTCTTTCTAAACAATTGTGGTGGTATTGATTCCGTGTTTCTTCTGGGATGTAGAGATAGTCTCTCTCTCTCTCTTTCTCTCTTCCTTTTTTCTTTCACAAGGTTTGGTTAAGAGATCCTCCTACCTCAGCTCATTTGAGAATCATTTTATCGTTATGTAATATGCAAAAAAAGATGAAATTGGAGCCAACTCAGGACTAGAGATTTTATGTGGTCAGTTGGACAAATAAAATCGCTGTTATTATTAATATTGTTACGCTGTACGAACATGTTGCAGACTCAGGTCATTCTAGCAATGAATGACCTCAGATAAAGTTGTCTTTCTGAGAAAATGTATAGCTAGAGTTTAGCTACTCGTTGCTGCCCGTCTTGTGGTACAGAAGCTGTCCCGGGAAGTGGAGCGAAGTGTGGTACCCGGACAATATTTGCCTTGTACATAACATTAAGATTACTCATACCTCTTCGATGCTGAAGGCACTGCTGTAATGATTGACCTATCCAAGGTGAGAGATAAGTCATCTTGCTCTGTTTACCTGTCAAGAAGTTGTAGATTAGACCAGGATGGGGAGGTGGAGTGGCAGGCACTCCGGGAAAGTGAGGCATACTCGAGTTGTGAGCGCACTTGTTCCTCATGCAGAGTTTTGCAGCCCCTGCTGTTGAGCAGGTACTGGATACAGTTTAATGCTCTTACCTTCTTGTCTGCCTTGCTTGCGAGATTTACCACGTGAGTCCTCATAAAATTTTGGAGTCATATTTTACCCCTATGACATTCACCTCATCCCCGGGTTATAACACTCTTCTGTTCATTCTTATCACTGCTTTCAGCATTAATATCATCTGTCTGTCTGTCTGTCTGTCTGTCTGTTTGTCTGTCTGTCTGTCTGTCTGTCTGTCTGTCTGTCTCTCTCTCTCTCTCTCTCTCTCTCTCTCTCTCTCTCTCTCTCTCTCTCTCTCTCTCTCTCTCTCTCTCTCTCTCCCTCTCTCTCTCGCAGTACCTACACAGTGCAGTCATCCGACTTGATCAACCTAACTATTGACCAAGTAATTGGGGATGGGATTAATTTTGTCGCGACGTAATGGTGCGTTCTGGATCCGTAGAATGGAAGTATGGTATTGTGAAGGAGGGAGGGAGGGGGGAAGGGAGGAAGGGAGGGAGGGAGGGAGGGAGGGAGGGAGGAGGAAGGGAACAAGTGAGGTAAGAGAGAGAGAAGAAGGAAGGTCTTAAGGAAAGTGGATAAAACAGATAACAGAAATATGTTTTATGAGAGAGAGAGACAGAGACAGAGAGAGACAGAGACAGGGAAGACAGAGAGACAGACAGATAGAGAGAGAGAGAGAAGAGAGAGAGGAGAGAGGAGAGAGAGAGAGAGAGAGAGAGAGAGAGAGAGAAGAGAGAGAGAGGAGAGAGAGAGAGAGAGAGAGGAGTGAGAGAGAGAGGAGAGAGAGAGAGAGAGAGAGAGAGACGATCGGGTTGAAGTTGAAATTGAATTCCCAAAGTTTGACTGAATTGACTTACACCATATTTGCTCTCTTGCTATCTGTGTTTGGGTTTTCAGATGTCAGTTGACTGAGTTTATAATGATGACTGAATACCTTGATAATAATGATGAAAACAATGAGAATGATGAATGAATGACGAGAATATGACTGTGAATGTGACTGGACTGATTGTGTGACTGACTCAGTGTGAGTGTTGGTTGATTGGCCGACTTTCTGACTTGCTGGCTGAATGTATGGCTGGTTGGCTGACTGACTGGATGACTTACTGGCTGGCTGATTGGCCGACTGTCTGACTTCCTGACTGGATGTTAAACAGACTGGCTGATGTCTGACTCTTTGATAATGTGACTGGCTGGATGACTGTCTCCCTGGCAGATTGACTGACTGACTGGATGGCTGACTGGCCGGATGGCTGACTGGCTGGATGCCTGAATGGCTGGAGGGCTGAATGGCTGGAGGGCTGACTTGCCAGATGGCAAATCTGCCAAACTTCATTTACCCGAATAAGCCGGTTTGGCTTATTCGGCAAGAGATATAGTTTGAAGCATTTGTAAATACCGGGAACATAACTCTGCTACTCTAACTGTAGATACCAAGAACATAACTGTACTACTGTACCTATAGATACTAGGATCATTACTATTGTAACTATAGATACTAGGATCATTACTACTGTAACTATAGATACTAGGATCATTACTACTGTAACTATAGATACTAGGATCATTACTACTGTAACTATAGATACCAGAAACATAACTCTACTGCTGTAACTACAAATAAGATAATCTCACACATACTTCCATCTGATGTTAAAAATAACTCACGTATTTTACAAATGTGTCTTTGTTTATATACACAGTTCTCCCTGACTGTGTTTTTTGTCACGTTTATTATAAGATAAATTAATAAGTCTCTCTCTTCTTTATAGATGAAGTTTAAAGGAGACCAGAAACGATCGCTCAGTCCTTCGTAAGTTGCCTTACCAATAGCGTTTAAAGCTTTTGAAAAAACTAGAAAATCGTGAGATTATGTCTTAGTCTAGCAGTTTAATCTACGTTTAATGCAATATATATTTTTTTCATTGTGAAATCATTCAAAGCAGAAGTTAATGTTATATATTTTTATTTTCAGAAAATAAACAAGGAGAGACTGGCTTTATTATACGACCTTTATTTTTATTAATTATAACTCAAATTTATTGTCATTTACGCCTACGAGTTGTTAATAAATTTGCTTTTCAAATTGACTTTACTGGATAGGGTGACATGTACGTTGTGTTATCTCTAGAGGTGGGACAATGTGTCGTGGGGTCGAATCCTGGCCTGCCGCAGTTTGGTAAATGATATATATATATATATATATATATTATATATATATATATATATAATATATATATATATATATATATATATATATATATATACATATACTATATGTATTCTCTTCATTGTGACCTCTGACCAGTGTTGACCTCCGGCAGGGTGAGTGACGTCACTGGAGTGTGCGCAGGAGTAAGGTCATGTCTTGAGGAGTTGAGCACTGCTGCAGAAGGAGGAGGAGGAGAAGGAGGAGAGGGAGACGAAGAAGGAACAGGAGGCAGTCTAGCCCACACATCCTCTATCGTCCACCAGCTGCACCACCTGCGACGACAACTGCACCGTCTGAAAGTCAACTGCGTCATTTAGCTGGGGTTCCCATTCCTGCTCTCTGGCGCCACCCGAGTTTGTATCATCAGCTGGAGGAGTGTGGTTGACAGCTGAAGTGTTTACACCAGCAGCTGGTCTTCCAGACCAAGATTGACAGCCATATGTGTCGACACCTGTTTATCCGAGCGTCTACCTGTCGACACCTGTGCGTCTACTTGTCGACACCTAAGTGTCTACTTGTCGACATCCTGAGCGTCTACCTGAAGACCGTACCTTGTGCTACACTATGACATTTCAGTGTGCAGAGAAAGGCTGGTATATATCTGTCTCGGGAAATCATAGAACCTGATATAATCATAACACTGGTTCACCTCTCAACATGACCTATTTCCAGCCACATATGATTATTGAATGCAAAGAGCTTATCTCTGCTGAGGGCTCGATCCTTCGTCTGCTAAACACAGACAGATCATCGACTTAATTAACAGACATATCATGTACACCAGCAACTCAGCGCACCGACTCAGAAAAAAATAATGAGAGATGTTAATTGTTGTCTTTAGTAAAAAAGTTTAGTAATTATAATAATAAAACTCATAATAATAATAATTAATACTAGGGAATATATTACGAGTGATAAATAATGAGGATAAAGAAGTAAATTATGTAAACTTGTATAGTGTTGATTTTTAATATATAAATGAATGAAAATGTAGCAAATGTAAGAAATAAATTAGAAAAAAAAACTCATTGAAAATCCTGAAGGAAAAAACGATGATGAGAGAAACTTTCAAACTTTCACAAATAAATCCAATGATTTGTCGACAAAAATATTATATAAACACTAACCCCCCAAAAAATTATTTTTTAGGTAACCTAAAAAAAAACAAATAATTGAAAAGGATAATAAACCTTATTGAGAAATAATGTAAAAAATACATTCAATAAAAGTACGTAAATATCGATTTGTAAATTCAACCTTATATATTTTTTATCTTGTAAAAGCAAGAAAGACAAGAATTTGACATAAAAATGTGTAAAAATGACACACTGAATTAAAGTTAACAATATTAACTTGTTTTCTTACTTTCTGGTCATGTGTTTTTCTTTTAGTATACATAAAATATGTTACACACACACACACACACACACACACACACAGGGGCCAGGAGCTATGACTTAACGCCTGCAGCCACAACTAGGTGAGTAAACGCATCATACATCAATCAACACACAGACACACACACACACCTGAGGCGGGGCCAGAAGCTATGAATCGACCCCTGCAACCACAACTAGGTGAGTACACACACACACACATCAATAAAAATAACGTCTTTATTGACACACCACCTTGTAGATTAAGTAATAAAGTATATGATTATTATAATCAAGGGAGAAGCGCTAAACCCGTAGGATTATGAAGTGCCTGTGGTGGGATGTGGAAAGTATTCCGGTTTAAGTACTAAAGTATAGAGGCCTAAAAGTCCATCTGCTGGTAACTGCCTCCACCGCCAAGTATCAACACAATGGAAATAAGTCACTTTGAGTTTTTTGGGTTATGGTAGGTTGTCTACACATATGCTGGTATGTATAATAATCTATGTAACTGTATTTGTGTATATGTGAATAAACTTACTCTCAGAATTACTAGTGCGAGACTAAATGAAATGTGGCGTGTGGATGCCATAGAGTTTCTCGTCACAGGACTCATGAGAGCCTAGCCAGGCAGGGGTGGGCAAGCCTTGGAACACCTGCCGCACCTGGCGCGCCTACGACTTATTTCCGACACGCTAACCTCTGGTCTCATCTCAAAAAACAAAAGCAATTGCGACATTTATCACGTATCCTTTCCAAGAAAAGCGGGGAAATAGTCCCCATATGTTTCCAGAGATATTGTGTTAAAGATATGGCCACCCCTAGCCTAGCACTGACGTCCACTCAAGATGGTGCATTCTTCTGAGTGAAGGTTCTTCATCCACGGAGTTAGATCACTTACCCTCCCCCCTTCCTTGCATCAAAACTCATTATGTATATATATATATATATATATATATATATATATATATATATATATATAGATATATATATATATATATATATATATATATATATATATATATATATATATATATAATTCGGGATCCATTTTTTCTAGGAACTGAGCATAAACACTACATTTTCTAGAGATAAATAACTATATTTGATACACTGAAGAAACAGTAATATATATATACGTATAATTCATTAAAGAATATCAAATAATTTTCTGTGTACATTAATAATAAATTATTATTTTATTTTTTATTTTATTATCACACCGGCCGATTCCCACCAAGGCAGGGTGGCCCGAAAAAGAAAAACTTTCACCATCATTCACTCCATCACTGTCTTGCCAGAAGGGTGCTTTACACTACAGTTTTTAAACTGCAACATTAACACCCCTCCTTCAGAGTGCAGGCACTGTACTTCCCATCTCCAGGACTCAAGTCCGGCCTGCCGGTTTCCCTGAATCCCTTCATAAATGTTACTTTGCTCACACTCCAACAGCACGTCAAGTATTAAAAACCATTTGTCTCCATTCACTCCTATCAAACACGCTCACGCATGCCTGCTGGAAGTCCAAGCCCCTCGCACACAAACCTCCTTTACCCCCTCCCTCCAACCCTTCCTAGGCCGACCCCTACCCCGCCTTCCTTCCACTACAGACTGATACACTCTTGAAGTCATTCTGTTTCGCTCCATTCTCTCTACATGTCCGAACCACCTCAACAACCCTTCCTCAGCCCTCTGGACAACAGTTTTGGTAATCCCGCACCTCCTCCTAACTTCCAAACTACGAATTCTCTGCATTATATTCACACCACACATTGCCCTCAGACATGACATCTCCACTGCCTCCAGCCTTCTCCTCGCTGCAACATTCATCACCCACGCTTCACACCCATATAAGAGCGTTGGTAAAACTATACTCTCATACATTCCCCTCTTTGCCTCCAAGGACAAAGTTCTTTGTTTCCACAGACTCCTAAGTGCACCACTCACTCTTTTTCCCTCATCAATTCTATGATTCACCTCATCTTTCATAGACCCATCCGCTGACACGTCCACTCCCAAATATCTGAATACGTTCACCTCCTCCATACTCTCTCCCTCCAATCTGATATTCAATCTTCATCACCTAATCTTTTTGTTATCCTCATAACCTTACTCTTTCCTGTATTCACCTTTAATTTTCTTCTTTTGCACACCCTACCAAATTCATCCACCAATCTCTGCAACTTCTCTTCAGAATCTCCCAAGAGCACAGTGTCATCAGCAAAGAGCAGCTGTGACAACTCCCACTTTGTGTGTGATTCTTTATCTTTTAACTCCACGCCTCTTGCCAAAACCCTCGCATTTACTTCTCTTACAACCCCATCTATAAATATATTAAACAACCACGGTGACATCACACATCCTTGTCAAAGGGCCTACTTTTACTGGGAAAAAATTTCCCTCTTTCCTACATACTCTAACTTGAGCCTCACTATCCTCGTAAAAACTCTTCACTGCTTCAGTAACCTACCTCCTACACCATACACTTGCAACATCTGCCACATTGCCCCCCTATCCACCCTGTCATACGCCTTTTCCAAATCCATAAATGCCACAAAGACCTCTTTAGCCTTATCTAAATACTGTTCACTTATATGTTTCACTGTAAACACCTGGTCCACACACCCCCTACCTTTCCTAAAGCCTCCTTGTTCATCTGCTATCCTATTCTCCGTCTTACTCTTAATTCTTTCAATTATAACTCTACCATACACTTTACCAGGTACACTCAACAGACTTATCCCCCTATAATTTTTGCACTCTCTTTTATCCCCTTTGCCTTTATACAAAGGAACTATGCATGCTCTCTGCCAATCCCTAGGTACCTTACCCTCTTCCATACATTTATTAAATAATTGCACCAACCACTCCAAAACTATATCCCCACCTGCTTTTAACATTTCTATCTTTATCCCATCAATCCCGGCTGCCTTACCCCTTTCATTTTACCTACTGCCTCACGAACTTCCCCCACACTCACAACTGGCTCTTCCTCACTCCTACAAGATGTTATTCCTCCTTGCCCTATACACGAAATCACAGCTTCCCTATCTTCATCAACATTTAACAATTCCTCAAAAATATTCCTTCCATCTTCCCAATACCTCTAACTCTCCATTTAATAACTCTCCTCTCCTATTTTTAACTGACAAATCCATTTGTTCTCTAGGCTTTCTTAACTTGTTAATCTCACTCCAAAACTTTTTCTTATTTTCAACAAAATTTGTTGATAACATCTCACCCACTCTCTCATTTGCTCTCTTTTTACATTGCTTCACCACTCTCTTAACTTCTCTCTTTTTCTCCATATACTCTTCCCTCCTTGCATCACTTCTACTTTGTAAAAACTTCTCATATGCTAACTTTTTCTCCCTTACTACTCTCTTTACATCATCATTCCACCAATCGCTCCTCTTCCCTCCTGCACCCACTTTCCTGTAACCACAAACTTCTGCTGAACACTCTAACACTACATTTTTAAACCTACCCCATACCTCTTCGACCCCATTGCCTATGCTCTCATTAGCCCATCTATCCTCCAATAGCTGTTTATATCTTACCCTAACTGCCTCCTCTTTTAGTTTATAAACCTTCACCTCTCTCTTCCCTGATGCTTCTATTCTCCTTGTATCCCATCTACCTTTTACTCTCAGTATAGCTACAACTAGAAAGTGATCTGATATATCTGTGGCCCTCTTAAAAAACATGTACATCCTGAAGTCTACTCAACAGTCTTTTATCTACCAATACATAATCCAACAAACTACTGTCATTTCGCCCTACATCATATCGTGTATACTTATTTATCCTCTTTTTCTTAAAATATGTATTACCTATAACTAAACCCCTTTCTATACAAAGTTCAATCAAAGGGCTCCCATTATCATTTACACCTGGCACCCCAAACTTACCTACCACACCCTCTCTAAAAGTTTCTCCTACTTTAGCATTCAAGTCCCCTATCACAATTACTCTCTCACTTGGTTCAAAGGCTCCTATACATTCACTTAACATCTCCCAAAATCTCTCTCTCTCCTCTGCATTCCTCTCTTCTCCAGGTGCATACACGCTTATTATGACCCACTTCTCGCATCCAACCTTTACTTATGTATATAATTCTTTAATTTCCTAAAACATAGTTATACATTACACATATAAGACATATACATACAATAAGTCCTTCCTTTCTGCTCTTATTCTATATTTATTGTGATATTCTTGACTTAGTTATCATGTACTCTTTGTGAATTTGTTATTTTTGCATATATTGAGAATGGCGTCTTATTAATACATATATAAAATATATAACAATGTATATATATATATATATATATATATATATATATATATATATATAATATATATATATATATATATATATATATATATATATATATATATATATATATAATATATATATATATATATATATATATATATACATGTATATTGATAAAACACAAGCATTCATTGTAAACTTATAGAATTCTATAATAAAGTTTAAATTTACTGGTTGTGTGTACATCAGCTACAATGTATCAGTATTCCAGTACTATACATCATTACAATCATTGTACTCTGATTAAATTTACTGTTCATCTTGTGTGTTGAACTTATTTCCTTATATCTTTCAAAAAAAAAACTCCTTAATTATTCAATTTACACAACATAATTCATAAATTAGAAGCTTAAGTTATCACACCTTTGTTGTAAGTGTATCCAGCACAATATGTTTCATTATCCGTGTGTCAAAGACTGTATTATTGTAGTCAATATAATGCAAGACTGTATAAAAGATAAAGTATTTTATATCAGTTATACCTTACTATGTTCAATCACTATACTTCACTCTCTTCACCATCATTATGAACATTCGTAAAAAATTTTTAACGTATCCAACATAATACATGACTCTATCTACCTTGATACATTAATGTCTTCGCAAAATACTATATCTATTTCAAGTATAAATCTAATACAATTCACCAAAATCCTAGTCATACGCTTATCAAGTGAAAAAATTATGCAATAGACCTCTGTTGCGCAGATTGAAATTTTGAAGATAGAAAGTTCCATCAGGTGACGTTAATTGCTAAATACGTCGTTGATGAACAGGTTCCAGCAACACTGTGGTTGATGTGAAGTCAGTCAGGAAGAAAACTTTGGTTAATTCCGGGTTACGCAGTGGTTACTGTGACATGTTTTGTCTACGTGGTCCCTCGATAGAGGGTTTTCAGTGCCGGTGAGAGGGCTCTTAATCCTAGGAACTGGATCAGTTGTTCTTCCCTTCCATGACTCGAACCTAATTGCCTCCCATTCCCAGACGCCATATGTCCCCTGAGGGTTTAACGCTTCCCCAATAAAAATAACAATAAAATTTTGTTGATGAGGGCTTTTGTTGGAGCCTCAGGCCACAATTGTGTTTTCTTGAGTAAGGAACTTTACCATACACACACATACACATATATAAAAACGTATACACGCTGATGCGTTACTGCTACTTATCCCCCACAAGCTGGGTAAATGGAATCGAGTGATTCTTGGCAGGTCAGCACCATAGATGGCCTCTGATACAACAGTTACTGCTGACGCCTGGTGCTGCTCCTTCCTGAAGGCAACAGAAAACGGAGATTGTCTTCCTCACAGGCAGTTAGCACCTCGCAATATCCCTTTATTTATGGTTTTTCTTGAGCGTACTTGTGATATACCTGCGAGCAGCTTCGAGGTTCTACTCCCCTCGCAGCCAGGTCTGAAGCCAGGCTTACTTGTATAACGAAGTTTAAATGAGGTTTTTACTCTGGGTGCATTATCTGGAGTGCGATTTAATATCTTAGTACTCAGAACCTCTGAGTGGATCAGTGTTCTTTGTACTAGTACTTAAACACGTATGTTTTCAGTGCTTTTATTCAGTGTTTGTTTTGTTGCTTTAGTTTTCTCTGCTACGATTCACTAGTCCGTGATGGGTTAGCTTGAATGCGTTCGTGAATGTCGCTTTAAAAGTTTAAATTCGTGTTTCCGAGTACATACTTGTCATAAACTTGAGTACATGTGTCCAAGAGCAACTGACACTCTTACACTTCAGTCAATTTATGAATCTATCACCAGTGTTCATTGTCGAACTTGCGTTAGTGTACGATCGTCGAAATAAAGAGTCTAGCATATCTGAACAGCTGAACCCAATTTATGTGGACAAGTTTTAGATATAAAAAAGCTCCCCGCATTACATATACATGTGGTCTTAACAAGCCATTTGGATTCCTTCATCATTCGCGTCGTTTCTGGGTTCTTGGGACTCGAGAGAATTCTTCAGGTTCTCACTCGTGCGGTTGTCTGTTGAGCTCTTGTGTGTCTTCACCGACTCATCAACACCTGTGGTAGATGCCGTATCTGACACAGATGAGCTCCTACTTTTGCTTTCATCGAATGATTTTCTTGGAATTTCTCTAGATTTCTTCCGAACCTCATCTGAGTTCTCGGTATTTACGCTCGAGCTCCTTATCCTTTCAGAAGAAGTCTTTCGAATGAAAGAAGTCACGCCTGCATCTGACACATTCTTGAAAGCTTCTGGCGTATTCTTGTGGATTTCGAACGACTTCCTCCAGTTATCAGGATCTCTTTTGCTAGGTAACGAAGATCTTTTTCGAAAGTCGGGAGAGTTACTGAAGGTATCAGGATCTCTCTTGCTTGGTAGCGAACACCTTTTCCGAATATCGGAAGATTTATACGCAGTGTCTGGTGCTTTTTTGAGGATCTCAGGGGAGTTTCTAACAGCCTCGGCCTGGTTCTTCTGGGTCTCAAATGAACTCCTCCAATTCTCTGGGTCTCTCTTGCATGGTAACGAAGACCGTTTTCGAAATTCGGACGAGTTACTCCAGTTATCAGAGTCCTTCTTGCTGGTTACAGACGAGCTCCTGTGGCTCTCAGAGAACCTCTTGCTCCGCTCCACAGACTTTCTGCGAGGTTCCATTGAATGCCTCCTTCTCTGCTCCACTAGAGTGGGCTTCTTATTCAAAGAAACTTTATCTTCCAACGTGAGATCTTGGACAATTGGCGACTTCCTCGATGTCCGACTAGAGGAAAGACTGCCGTTCATCAGAACTGACTTTTGTTCACTTTGTGTTTCTCGAGACATGGGAGGCGTACGTGTCGAAGCATCTGTGGGTTCAAGAACTTTCTGGGCTTCCAGTGATACACCTGATTCTCTTGAGCTGCTTCGTGAGCTGGTTGAAATCTTCGCCGGCGCTGAAATTCTCTTGTTGGACAACTGCCCGAATTCTTGGCAAACTGCTGCGGGTAGTGACAGCGGTCTGGAAACCACCGCATCTCCTCCGCTGGAACTTTCTTGAGCCACTAAAGCAGCTGAGGATATCACCACTGAAGATGTGGAAGCCACTTCATCAGTCCCTTCCTCCTGAGGCACAGTCGAACTCCTCTTGAGTTCTTTTGGGGAATTTCCAGAGGGCTTCCTGGAAGACCTTGCTGGCGATCTCCTGGAAGACCCACCGGTAGATCTTCTAGGTGACCTCTTCGGAGATACACTGGTTGATCTCCTTTGAGGTCTTTCGGGGGACTTGCTGACTGATCTTCCTTGTGGCCTATCGGGGGATCTGGGAGGTGACCTGCGACCGGTGAGCGTGAGGTCATCGCTTTGGGTCACGTCAGAGTACTCGGTGCCCGAACCTGAGTTACCGTGGCAGTGTTGGTCAGCCTTCAGTTCCCGAAGACGCTCCTGAGGAAGACAGATGAGTGAAATTATCTATACGTCGTGTGAATCTAATAACGATATTATCAATTATTGTAATATCAAGAGTAATATTTTGGAAAAAAATATTACTTTAAGCTGATATTTATGTAACAATTAACATTACCAGCACTACTAGTGTTAGTGTGAGTGTCACAACTACTGCTAGTCTTGCTACAATTATTGCTACTATCACTATTACTATTACCACTATTACTACTACCACTATTACTATTACCACAATTACTACCACTATTACTGCTACTACCACCACCGATACTACTCTTATTACTATCATTATCAAACCATTAAATATAGCAGCACCACCACAGCAGTTATTACTGAAACCAAAACTTCTTCTAGAAGCTATACTGCTAGCTATACTGCTGCTATACTGCTAGCTATACTACTAGCTATACTGCTAGCTATATTGCTAGCTATACCGCTAGCTATACCGCTAGCTATACTGCTAGCTATACTGCTAGCTATACTGCTAGCTATACTGCTAGCTATACTGCTGCTATACTGCTAGCTATACTGCTAGCTATACTGCTAGCTATACTGCTAGCTATATTGCTAGCTATACCGCTAGCTATACTGCTAGCTATACTGCTAGCTATACTGCTAGCTATACTGCTAGCTATACTGCTAGTTATGCTGGTAGCTATGCTGGTAGCTATACTGCTAGCTATACTGCTAGCTATACTGCTAGTTATGCTGCTAGCTATGCTGCTAGTTATGCTGGTAGCTATACTGCTAGCTATACTGCTAGCTATGCTGTTAGTTATGCTAGTAGCTATGCTGGTAGCTATACTGCTAGCTATACTGCTAGCTATACTGCTAGCTATGTTGCTAGTTATGCTGGTAGCTATACTGCTAGCTATAGTGCTAGCTATACCGCTAGCTATACTGCTAGCTATACCGCTAGCTATACCGTTAGCTATGCTGCTAGTTATGCTGCTAGTTATGCTGCTAGTTATGCTGCTAGTTATGCTAGTAGCTATGCTGGTAGCTATACTGCTAGTTATACTGCTAGCTATACTGCTAGTTATGCTGTTAGTTATGCTGGTAGCTATGCTGGTAGCTATACTGCTAGCTATACTGCTAGCTATACTGCTAGCTATGCTGCTAGTTATGCTGGTAGCTATACTGCTAGCTTTACTGCTAGCTATACTGCTAGCTATACCGCTAGCTATACTGCTAGCTACTGCTAGCTATACCGTTAGCTATGCTGCTAGTTATGCTGCTAGTTATGCTGCTAGTTATGCTGGTAGCTACGCTCCTAGTAATGCTGCTAGTTATGCTGCTAGTTATGCTGGTAGCTATGTTGCTAGTTATGCTGCTAGTTATGCTGCTAGTTATGCTGGTAGCTATGCTGCTAGTTATGCTGCTAGTTATGTTGGTAGCTATGCTCCTAGTTATGCTGCTAGCTATGCTGCTAGTTATGCTGCTAGTTATGCTGGTAGCTATGCTGCTAGTTATGCTGCTAGTTATGCTGGTAGCTATGCTACTAGTTATGCTGCTAGTTATGCTGCTAGTTATGCTGGTAGCTGTGCTGCTAGTTATGCTGCTAGTTATGCTGGTAGTTATGCTGCTAGTTATGTTGCTAGTTATGCTGGTAGCTATGCTGCTAGTTATGTTGCTAGTTATGCTGATAGCTATGCTGCTAGTTATGCTGCTAGTTATGCTGCTAGTTATGCTGCTAGTTATGCTGATAGCTATGCTGCTAGTTATGCTGGTAGCTGTGCTGCTAGTTATGCTGCTAGTTATGCTGGTAGCTATGCTGCTAGTTATGCTGCTAGTTATGCTGCTAGTTATGCTGCTAGTTATGCTGGTAGCTATGCTGCTAGTTATGCTGCCAGTTATGCTGCTAGTTATGCTGGTAGCTATGCTGCTAGTTATGCTGCTAGTTATGCTGGTAGCTATGCTGGTAGTTATGCTGCTAGTTATGCTGCTAGTTATGCTGCTAGTTATGCTGCTAGTTATGCTGGTAGCTATGCTGCTAGTTATGCTGGTAGCTGTGCTGCTAGTTATGCTGCTAGTTATGCTGGTAGCTATGCTGCTAGTTATGCTGCTAGTTATGCTGCTAGTTATGCTGCTAGTTATGCTGGTAGCTATGCTGCTAGTTATGCTGCCAGTTATGCTGCTAGTTATGCTGCTAGTTATGCTGGTAGCTATGCTGCTAGTTATGCTGCTAGTTATGCTGGTAGCTATGCTGGTAGTTATGCTGCTAGTTATGCTGCTAGTTATGCTGCTAGTTATGCTGCTAGTTATGCTGGTAGTTATGCTGCTAGCTATGCTGCTAGTTATGCTGCTAGTTATGCTGCTAGTTATGCTGCTAGTTATGCTGGTAGCTATGCTGCTAGTTATGCTGCTAGTTATGCTGGTAGTTATGCTGCTAGCTATGCTGCTAGCTATGCTGCTAGTTATGCTGCTAGTTATGCTGCTAGTTATGCTGGTAGCTATGCTGCTAGTTATGCTGGTAGTTATGCTGGTAGCTATGCTGGTAGTTATGCTGCTAGTTATGCTGCTAGATATGCTGCTAGTTATGCTGCTAGCTATGCTGCTAGTTATGCTGCTAGTTATGCTGGTAGCTATGCTGCTAGTTATGCTGCTAGTTATGCTGGTAGCTATGCTGCTAGTTATGCTGCTAGTTATGCTGCTAGCTATGCTGCTAGTTATGCTGCTAGTTATGCTGGTAGCTATGCTGCTAGTTATGCTGCTAGTTATGCTGCTAGTTATGCTGGTAGCTATGCTGCTAGTTATGCTGCTAGTTATGCTGCTAGTTATGCTGCTAGTTATGCTGCTAGTTATGCTGCTAGTTATGCTGCTAGTTATGCTGCTAGTTATGCTGGTAGCTATGCTGCTAGTTATGCTGCTAGTTATGCTGCTAGTTATGCTGGTAGCTATGCTGCTAGTTATGCTGCTAGTTATGCTGCTAGTTATGCTGCTAGTTATGCTGCTAGCTACAATAGCACTATTATATCTACTTTATTATTCATATTTCTAGCACATCTACTAAACTACTAGTGGTGCCGTAAATGAATAAAATATATGATAATATATAATAATAATAATAATAATAATAATAATAATAATAATAATAAGAATATTATTATTATTATTATTATTATTATTATTATTAATGACATTATGGTTTAATAATTAAAGAAAAAGTATAAAAGAAACAGCATCAACAACAACAACAACAACAACAACAACAACAACAACAACAACAACAACAACAACAACAACAACAACAACAACATAAACAACATCAACAACAACGACATAACAACACAACAACAACAACAACGACATAAACAACAACAACAAGATAACAACAACAACAACAACAACAACAACAACAACAACACATAAACAACATCAACAACAACAACAACGACATAAACAACAACAACAACGACATAAACAACAACAACAACGACATAAACAACAACAACAACAACAACAACAACAACAACAACAAATAATAATAATAATTTCGTTCAACAAACCAATATAAGAAGTAATAATTATTTAAAATACTTCAGAATTTTTCTTAATCAATTTGGTTTTGTTTTAATAAAAAAAATCGACTCAGTTTTTACTTTATTTTGATTTCAGTTTCTTCTCAGTTTAATATTTTTTATGTGTGCATAGTGTACGTGGAGGTACGTGGACGTGGGTGTACGTAACGTACCTTGAGCTGTTGGGTGCTGCTCTTGGTCAGGCTGGAGGAGGAACGAGGTGACTCGATAGTCACTGTAGTTCCTCGTACCTTAACCTGAAGCAACGTAAACAACTATCACTCACAGCACCTCTGGGGGAGGAACTCTCACGACGATAACTATCATAATACTATTATCTCACACTAATTATCATCATAAATTCATACCGTTATTAATTATTATTTACAAAAAATTTTTTGTTTTATTTCTCTGCTATAAAGGCTTTGTCATAGAAAACGGAGATTTTTTAGGAAAATTTAAGGCGTAACTCGTATTTCTTTTTTTTTGTGGGGGAGAAACTCTGTGTTAGTTGTATCTCAGTGGAAATGTATTGGCATAGAGTATATACACGGAGATAGCCGTGTGCCTCCCCGTGTATATACACTGACTGGTGTATATCTCTCAGTGTATATACATCGAGAACTGTCTATCTCAAGCTTGTATGAACACCGAGGTGTATATCTAAGAATTATACCAATGACAGGTAGATATCTTTCACGGTGTATACAGTGAGAAGTATATATATTCCTTAGTGTATATATATACAAACATACCCAGAGTTTACTTTAATATATATTTAAGAAAGAGACCTAGTCCTAATGACCCACATGTATTCCAAAATATTATTATTATATTTACAAGACAGCGATAAACCCGTAAGGAATATGCACCTCCATAAACTCCTCCTTCAATGGGTGTGGTGGGGGGAGTGCCTTTATGCAACTTAAGGGCTCTTGATCCAAGAAGTGAGAGTTCTCGTGCTTTCTATGGATCAGTATTTGTATGCCTTCACCCCCAGTGCTGATATCCTGCCAGGTTTAGCTTTCCATGAATATATATAATAATAATAACTATAATAATAACCAATTATAATAATATTAATAATAAAAATAAATATAATAATCACGAAAACGTATAACACGATTGCACATACTAAATTCCACCGTCCGTGGTTGTATAATAATATAATAATATAATTAATAATTAATAATAATATTTTTTATTTCTCTTTCTGTTCTCGCTTCCCTCTACCCCCCCTCTTCATCCTCCATTTCCCTACTTCTCCCACAACTCCCTTCCAAACCAACAATAAATGCAAGAGAAATGTAGTTGTGAAGCTCGATCCGCCGTACCAAATGCTAACAAAACGTAAAATATTCACCACGTAAATACCTTGTAATCCACGATGCGCCTTGACGTTGGATGGGAACACGTCTTGGACTGGTTGCTTCTGTATGGAGGTAAGGAGGAGGAAGTGAAGAGGGCTAGAGGGGTGGAGAAGGTTACTCCTGTCCCCTCCTGATCCACGCTCCCTCCCCTCCTGGAGAGTTTCCTCTGCAGACGAGAGCGTTGCTTACGGGTGCGTGTTCACCCGCTGAAGTTGCAACCAAGCGACCATTGATTCACTTGAATAAAATTTCATAACAATTGCAGTGTGTTGCTTAGTGTGAGGCTACTTGATGTATGAAGAGTTACTAGTGAACACTCAGTATGTTCTAGTGTGAGCTACGTTGTTGATGAGAGATACATATTGGAAACTCAGTGATGTTGCTATTGAGGCTACGTTGTTGTATGGAGAGAGTTACATAGGGGAAACCTGCAGGATGTTGCTTAGTGTGGGGCTACGTGTGTAGAGAGAGTACAAGTGGGAACCTGCAGTATGTTGCTTAGTGTGAGGCTACGTTGTTGTATGAGAGAGTTACTAATGAACCCTGCATATGTTCCCAATGTGGAGGCGGTTGTTTATGAGAGAGTTACAAGTGGAACACCTGCAGTAGTGTTGCTTAGTGGAGGCTACGTTGTTGTATGACGTTACATAGTGGGAACACCTGCAGGTGTTGCTTATGTGAGGCTACTTTTGATAAGAGAGTTCATAGTGGAACAACTGCAGTGTGTTGCTTAGTGTGAGGCAACGTTGTTGTATGATAGAGTTAATAGTGGGAACACCTGCAGTGCGTTGCTTAGTGTGAGGCTACGTTGTTGTATGAAGAGTTACATAGTGGGAACACCTGCAGTGTGTTGCTTAGTGTGAGGCTACGTTGTTGTATGAGAGAGTTATATAGTGGGAACACCTGCATGCGTTGCTTAGTGTGAGGCTACGTTGTTGTATGATAGAGTTACATAGTGGGAACACCTGCAGTGTGTTGCTTAGTGTGAGGCTACGTTGTTGTATGAGAGAGTTACAAAAGTGGGAACAACTGCAGTGTGTTCTAGTGTGAGGCACGTTGTTGTATGATAGAGTTATATAGTGGGAACACCTGCAGTGCGTTGCTTAGTGTGAGGCTACGTTGTTGTATGATAGAGTTACATAGTGGGAACACCTGCAGTGTGTTGCTTAGTGTGAGGCTACGTTGTTGTATGATAGAGTTATATAGTGGGAACACCTGCAGTGCGTTGCTTAGTGTGAGGCTACGTTGTTGTATGATAGAGTTACATAGTGGGAACACCTGCAGTGTGTTGCTTAGTGTGAGGCTACGTTGTTGTATGAGAGAGTTACATAGTGGGAACAACTGCAGTGTGTTGCTTAGTGTGAGGCAACGTTGTTGTATGATAGAGTTATATAGTGGGAACACCTGCAGTGCGTTGCTTAGTGTGAGGCTACGTTGTTGTATGATAGAGTTACATAGTGGGAACACCTGCAGTGTGTTGCTTAGTGTGAGGCTACGTTGTTGTATGAGAGAGTTACATAGTGGGAACAATTGCAGTGTGTTGCTTAGTGTGAGGCAACGTTGTTGTATGAGAGAGTTACATAGTGGGAACACCTGCAGTGTGTTGCTTAGTGTGAGGCTACGTTGTTGTATGATAGAGTTACATAGTGGGAACACCTGCAGTGTGTTGCTTAGTGTGAGGCAACGTTGTTGTATGAGAGAGTTACATAGTGGGAACAACTGCAGTGTGTTGCTTAGTGTGAGGCTACGTTGTTGTATGAGAGTTACATAGTGGGAACAACTGCAGTATGTTGCTTAGTGTGAGGTTACGTTGTTGTATGAGAGTTACATAGTGGGAACACCTGCAGTGTGTTGCTTAGTGTGAGGCTACGTTGTTGTATGAGAGTTACATAGTGGGAACACCTGCAGTGTGTTGCTTAGTGTGAGGCTACGTTGTTGTATGAGAGTTACATAGTGGGAACAACTGCAGTGTGTTGCTTAGTGTGAGGCTACGTTGTTGTATGAGAGTTACATAGTGGGAACAACTGCAGTGTGTTGCTTAGTGTGAGGTTACGTTGTTGTATGAGAGTTACATAGTGGGAACACCTGCAGTGTGTTGCTTAGTGTGAGGCTACGTTGTTGTATGAGAGTTACATAGTGGGAACAACTGCAGTGTGTTGCTTAGTGTGAGGCTACGTTGTTGTATGAGAGTTACATAGTGGGAACAACTGCAGTGTGTTGCTTAGTGTGAGGCTACGTTGTTGTATGAGAGTTACATAGTGGGAACAACTGCAGTGTGTTGCTTAGTGTGAGGCAACGTTGTTGTATGAGAGAGTTACATAGTGGGAACAACTGCAGTGTGTTGCTTAGTGTGAGGCTACGTTGTTGTATGAGAGAGTTACATATGGGAACATGCAGTGTGTTTGTGTAGTACGTTGTTAGGAGAGTTACAATGGGACACTGCAGTGTGTTGCTTAGTGTGAGGCTACGTTGTTGTATGAGAGAGTTACATAGTGGGAACAACTGCAGTGTGTTGCTTAGTGTGAGACTACGTTGTTGTATGAGAGAGTTACATAGTGGGAACACCTTCAGTATGCTGCTACACTATTCCATATTATAATTACATAGTGAGGAGAAAAGCTAGCAACGTTTCAGTGTCATATTACGTCATCCAAGATGGGTGACATACAGAAGACCGTCAGATGTGTCAGCCTGAGCTGACAGACGTCAGCAAGGCGCCAAGGACACGGCCGAGCATTCCACTACAGGTTCAGTAACTACTGGGAACGTTAAGGGTATGAGGTCCGTCGTCTTGAGTTACTGTGTACGTTAGAAGCTATAGTGAAGTGAGTAAGGGTTATTGTTGCGTGTCGAGGCGTGTAACTCTTGCTTTATGGTGTAGTCCCGTAGCTCGATTGGTAGGGCACTCAATTCTCACACTGAGGTCCGTGGTTCGACCCCCCGGTACGGGTGGAAACATTTGGATGAGTTTCCTTCAGGTACCTGTTGTCCATGTTCACCTATCAGTAAAATAGGTACCCGAGTGTTAGTCGACTGGTGTGGGTCGCATCTTGGCACAAAATTGACCTAATTTCCACGAAATGCTCTGCATAACAAGGAATTTTCTGTATAGTAGTATGTCATTGATGTCTTCTATGGTCTGTATACCTTGTATATGTACTTGTAGAAATAAATATTAATAGTAGTACTAGTTAACAATGGTACTACTACTACTACTACTACTACTACTACTACTACGACTACTACTACGACTACTACTACGACTACTACTACGACTACTACTACGACTACTACTACTACTACTACTACGACTACTACTACGACTACTACTACGACTACTACTACGACTACTACTACGACTACTACTACGACTACTACTACGACTACTACTACTACTACTACAACTACTACGACTACTACTACGACTACTACTACGACTACTACTACGACTACTACTTCTTACCGTGACCCGTAGGGTCAGAAAGTTTCATACTCTCTTCTAGTTCTGCCTGCCACTCTGCTTCTCTCTTCTCTCTTTCTCTCTTCTTCTCCTCCAGTTCTCTGTTAAACACCAGCATCCTCTCGTACACGACGGCTTCCCCTTCCTATGGGAAAGAAGGAAAGATAGAGATAACTAGATTTAAGCAGCTAGAGTATAATGAACACTTGCCAGTGTTCAGTGATAACCCACATGGAGACACAAACACAGAAAGTTGATTGATCTGTATATTTCGAGTTTTATTACTCACTCGCCGCGAGTTCAGTCCCCACCCGTACCGTAGTTTGTGTGCAATCGTGTCATTACGATTTCGTGAATCCTAAACCGAGGGATAATGTTGAGAACAGATGTGTACTTTCGTCCCTTTAAGCAGGTTCTGGAGAAAGTGTGTAAACAAACAGGAAAAAAAACTAAACCAAGCCATATATATAAACACAAGCGATGTTAGAACAGATAATGAAAGCAGTGTTGTGTTACACTGAGCGTGTAACTGTAACCACAATGTAGATTCTGAAATTTGCACATTAAATATAATAGTTACGTGAAGAGGAGAATTGTAGAGTCAGACTTAGTCTGAGATCTAAACTTCCAACATAGTAATTATCGTTCAAGTCACTGGATATCTTAGTGTTTCGCTTGAAAGTAAAGTCTCTTTGAGAATCAGGTAACCAATCAGGTGTTTCTCAACAAGGTAAGCAGGTCCAGAGGCGGAAACACTCACCATCAATCGATGAACAGCTCTCTTTCCAGCACTCAGCAGCAGCCCCATCCCAGTGTACTTCCCACCTCCACAACGTAAGGTAAGCTAGCCAATTTTTCCTAAATCTCTTCATAGATATTATCTTTCTGGCAATCATATTATATTACTAAAACCAGATGTCTCCACTCAACACACACGCACACACACACACACACACACACACACACACACACACACACACACACACACACACACACACACACACACACACACACACACACACACACACACACACACACATTTAGGAAACTCAGATCATTGCCTCTTATAATTTTCTTTATAACCATCCTAAATTTATACACTTCTTAAAGACCCTTTCTTGCCTCATCGCGTTTAAATTGAGAAACCATTTAAATAATTCTCCTCTGTTCCCCGAATTATATCTATATCATACCAGCAAGCTAATTTCTGTGGCATTATTAACCCACACACTAATCTCTCGGAGCACATCACCACTGTCTCCAGCCTCCAGCCTCCAGCCTCCAGCCTCCAGCCTCCAGCCTCCAGCCTCCAGCCTCCAGCCTCCAGCCTCCAGCCTCCAGCCTCCAGCCTCCAGCCTCCAGCCTCCAGCCTCCAGCCTCCAGCCTCCAGCCTCCAGCCTCCAGCCTCCAGCCTCCAGCCTCCAGCCTCCAGCCTCCAGCCTCCAGCCTCCAGCCTCCTCACTGCAACATAGAAAAATGTCGTGCCTCACACCTATCCAAAAATACTGAAACACAATACTCAGATACATTACTCACGTTACATCATAACACTATCTACCTTCTTCCCCTCGTCTATTCACTGATTCTCCCAATCTTTGATACGCCCGTCTACCCACACATCCTCTCCCAAATCCCTCAATACATTCACTTGCTCCCTACTTTATTCCAATCTAAGAGCCAATCTTTAACGTCATAGATATCGTCTTACTCTCATCACCTTGCCCATTTCGGATCCTCATTAAAACTTTGTAATTTGACACACCTCTCCTAAGCACCTCCTCCAAACCCTGCAACTTTGAAGTCTAACGTTGCAAGTCTAATACTGCAAGTCTACCGTTACCTTTTTTTCAAGAACAGACCTGCGGTAGTACAGTGGAAAACTCACTAGTCCAATCCTGGCCAATTCTTTTTTTTTTTTATCGAATACTTTGAGGCTAAATTGTTAACACAGATTTTTACACTTTCTGATCAGTTATGGTCGAGATATAGAGGTTGACTTATTCCAAAATGACGGCATTATAAAACCTTCCTAGGAAAGTTAAATCACATAATTACCCACAAGCATATACACACATTGGAACGGTCAAGAACAACGAGGAATGGGCTTAAGAAAAATGCTTGAGCTTACATGACTTGGAGAACAGAGGGTCAGGATAGACATGATTACGACATACAAGATACTCAGAGATACAGACAGACACTGACAGACACTGGCACTGACAAACACTGACAGACACTGACAGACACTGACAGACACTGGTAGACACTGGCAGACACTGACAGACACTGACAAACACTGACAGACACTGACAGACACTGACAGACACTGGTAGACACTGGCAGACACTGACAGACACTGACAGACACTGAGAAACACTGAAAAACACTGACAGACACTGACAGGCACTGACAAACACTGACAGACACTGAGAAACACTGACAAACACTGACAGACACTGACAGGCACTGACAAACACTGACAGACACTGACAGACACTGACAGACACTGGTAGACACTGGCAGACACTGACAGACACTGACAAACACTGACAGACACTGACAGACACTGACAGACACTGGTAGACACTGGCAGACACTGACAGACACTGACAGACACTGACAGATACTGACAGACACTGACAGGATGAACAAGAGAGTGTATCACATGAGCCACATCAGAGTAAGAGCAGCCTCGATGCTAATTGCATACGTTTGCACAGGATGTAAGTAAATAAGTGGAATGTGCTAGGTGAATGAGCTAGGTGAATTAGCTAGGTGAATGTGCTAGGTGAATTAGCTAGGTGAGGGCCAGGTGGGAGCTTATACCTGCACATGCATGATGGCTTTTAAAGAAGATATGATGGAGGGCAGGAGGTAAAGGACCAGCCACGTCAGTGAGTCGGAGTTCAAGAGGCGGTGCCCAGGAGTTGAGCCCAGGAACTGGTGCTCAAGAGGCGGGCCCAGGAGCTAGTGCTCACCTTCAACCAGCACAGCTGTTGACACAAACTTTTCCAGTTGGAATTAAATGAAAAGGTCGTATTATTAAATTTACAATTTGTCCTCCGGGAGGAATCTCTCTCTCTCTCTCTCTCTCTCTCTCTCTCTCTCTCTGGAAATATTTCTTCATTTAGGTTATCAAAGTTTTCTCTTCAAGATTACCGACTTCTGAAGATAACCTTTAATGACTCGTGAAATATATCAGCATTGTTCATCCTGTGTCGATTTAAAGCTCCTGGCCCCGCCTCTTTGCTGGTCGTTACTAGGTCTCTCTCTGTCTCTCTCTCTCTCTCTGCTCCAAGAACTTTATCGTATCTCTTCTTAAAGCTATGCATGGATCCTGCCTCCACTGCATCACTCTCCAGACTATTCCACTTCCTTACAACTCTATGGCTGAAGAAATACTTCCTAACATCCCTGTGAGTCATCTGAGTCTTCAGTTTGAGTTGTAACATCGTTGTTGCTATGTCCAGGCTCTCAAACATTGTGTGTGTGTATGTGTTTGCATACTCTCCCGTGTGTGTGCAAGCACTTAAGGTCCGTGTGCACGTCTTCGTTCACGTACACTAACATTAACACTGAATTCAATTCCTCGCCAGTGTTCTCACTGCCCTAAAAATATGGCCTCAACCTTATTGAAAGAAAACCTATAAACACTATAATAAACCCATTTCTCCACAGTCCTACCAACTAACGCAATCAAAACACAACCCCCAGAATAAACACCAAAACCAAACAACGTAGAATACATAAACACCTTCCAACACCTTCCTCTTTCACACTCCACAGGACCCCGAAAAAAAGAGCATCAACAACCGCCATACTTTTTTTTCCCCTCTCTTCGCACACGCAACAGAAGACAACACAAGGACAAAAGCGCATCGGCCGGGACCCCATCCTCTTAAAAAACCCGTTTATTGTGCCATGACAACAATTACTTACAGTGGTGCCGGATATAGAACTCTGCGTCTCCCTGATGCTTTTTTGTTTCGAGAGTCTTTTCTTCTTCTTGTGTAGAGGTCTAGACTCTATGATCATCTCTTCCAACTCGAAGGTTGGATCACAGTTTAGGTGGTCCTTCTGTAGACATAGATAGATAGATAGATACTTAGATAGATAGATATTTAGATAGATAGATACTTAGATACATACTTAGATATTTAGGTAGATAGATTGGTTTAGAAAGACACGTAAGCAAACACTACTAAACGCAGCCCCACACCTCTAACTTCTACAGCTTGCGTCTACACGATCCCTTGTGGGTTCTGTCCCAAGAAATATGTAGGCGAGACAGGCAGAGATCTTGCAGTCCGCCTGAATGAGCATCGAAATGCCTCTAACAGAGACGATGTAAGGTACGCCTGTGTCCTCCACAGAGACTCAACGGGGCATTTGATGAACTGGAACGAGGCACAACTCGTTCTCACCGAACCAGACCTCAGACGCCGACGGTGCCTAGAAGCCTCACTAATCACCGTCACCGACACTATAGAACGCAACACTGGAAACTACAAAATTTCAAAAACATTGGCATACATGATACTTAAGCAGCACCAACCCAACAACACAGGAGTCACATGATTTCATCGTCTACTGGTCCTCATCATAGACAGAGGTTGTTTTGATAAGGACCTGCCTCGCATGGGCCAGTAGGCCTTCTACAGTGTTCCTCCATTCTTATGTTCTTATGACATTCCTCAGGTCACGTGCGTCACATCTCACTCTCCGCCTATATATATAATGTCTTTCTACCTCTGTATGTTAGAAGTGATCAAGGTCCCAGGACCGAAACGTTTTCTAATAAATATGTTATAGTGTTTGCTTACGTGTCTTTCTAAACCAACTTGTCGGTATTTATTACCAAGGTTTATACCAGGTAGATAGATACTTAGATAGATAGATACTTAGTTAGATATTTAGATAGATAGATGCTTAGATAGATAGATACTTAGATAGATAGATACTTAGATAGATAGATACTTAGCGAAATAGATACTTACATAGCTATTTAGATAGATAGATACTTAGATAGATATTTAGATAGATAGATACTTAGATAGATAGATACTTAGATAGACAGATACTTAGATAGATAGATACTTAGAGAGATAGATACTTAGATAGATAGATACTTAGATAGATAGATATGTAGATAGATACTTAGATAGATAGATACTTAGATAGATACTTAGATAGATACCTAGATAGATAGATACTTAGATAGATAGATACTTAGATACATAGATACTTAGATACATAGATACTTAGATACATAGATAAATAGATACCTAGACAGGTAAATAAATAAATACGTAGATAGATAGCCAGATACGTAGATAGATAAACAGATACGTAGATAGATAGACAGATGGCCGACCTCAGGAGTAGATTAACTCTCGAAACTCTTCAAAGGTATATCAAAAGTAAAGGATACGTAGATAGATTGATATGTAGATAGACATAGATATAGATAGATATAGATAGATACTTAGATAGATAGAAAGATATATAAAAAGACAAATAGATAGATAGATATAAATAGACACATAGATATACCTACCTAGAGATTTATTTTACTGTGTGTTCTGTTAATAACATTAAATAATTCAAAGATAATTTTAAATTATTTAATTCTGGACTAGGATTTTTTTTTTTTTTGAGGAATATATGAAAAAACTTGTAATGAATGAAATTATTAATGCTGCAAGTATAGGAATAATAATAATAATAATAATAATAATAATAATAATAATAATAATAATAATAAATAATAATAATAATAATAATAATAATAATAATATAATGATGATAATAATAATAATAAATAATAATAATAATAATAATAATAATAATAATAAATAATAATAAGGCATTTCCGCATCAATCAACAATCATCTCCACATTCACTCTCTCCACTTCTCTCTCTTCTCCTCTCTCTCTCTCTCTCTCTCTCTCTCTCTCTCTCTCTCTCTCTCTCTCTCTCTCTCTCTCTCTCTCCCCTCTCTCTCTCTCTCTCTCTCTCTCTCTCTCTCTCTCTCTCTCTCTCTCTCTCCTCTCTCTCTCTCTCCTCTCTCTCTCTCTCTCTCTCTCACTCTCTCTCTCTCTCTGTCTCACCGGCGGTGTGAAGACAGGCTTGACTCTCTTCTTGATGACGTCGTCAGCAGTGATGGTAGCAGCGTAGGGAAGCTGCATCAGTTGATCTAAACACTGGATACGCTTCTCCACACTCACCGTCAACAGCTGCAGGATAACAACACCCGTCGCTAAACACATAAAGGAAATATCTTTGCCAGCTACTGTAGGAGTGTGTGTGTGTATGTGGGAGGTACTATATCAGATCTAATTCGAGATGGGGGAGAACATCTTCATCTTCTGCGATACAAAGATGCTGTGGTGGGCACCATACATCAATCATGTTTAGGATCATGTCCAGTATTCTCTTCCCCGTTTCTCTCCTCTCCCCACCTCCTTACCCATTTCCCTTCCCCTTCCCCATTAGAACACTCCCTACACCCTAAATCCCCACTAGAACACTCCCTACACCCTAAAACCATGTTAAAACACTTCCTACACCGAAATCTCCCCTAGAACAACCTAAATGCCTATTAGAGCACATAACTCCCCACTAGAAAACCCTAAATTTCCACTAGAAAACTTCCTATACCCTAAATCCCCACTAGAGCACTCGCTACACCCTCAATAAAGATGCGAGAAGAACGATGTGTGAGTGACCTTGGAGATGACATGTACGAGTCCAGTGTGGCAGGAGGAAGGGAAGGTGGGTGCCTGCTGGAAGATGCGGCGGATGTCATGAAGGGAAGTGTTGGAGTGGATGTCGAAGGGCCTCTTGCCCCTCCGCACTTCGTAGGCGGTGACCCCGAGCGACCACCAGTCTACCTGATAGGAGTAACCCTCGCACGTGTCCGCCACACACTCAAACACTTCCGGCGCTGCACGTGCCCACCGGTGTTGCCCACGTGTTGGCAAGAGTTGACAGGTGTTGCCAGGTGTTGCCCAGGTGTTGCCATGTGTTGCCCAGGTGTTGCGAGATGTTCCAGGATAAGATAAGGAAATTTGTAGTTAGATATAATAATAATAATAATAATAATAATAATAATAATAATAATAATAATAATAATAATAATAATAATGACGAATATAATAATAATTATAATAATAATAATAATAATAATAATAATAATAATAATAATAATAATAATAATAATAATAATTATTATTATTATTATTATTATTATTGGGTAATCAAAATCACAATTAATCAGAACATTAATAATAATTTTAAATCTTTAAACATAGATTAAGTTGTACTTTTGGCGTACGTACACTGAGGTTTTTGATCCGAGGAATTGGAGCCACCCTCCGTTTACCTCGATCAAACCTGACTGTCGCCCGTCACCCCCCCACCCTGTAGGCGCCGTAGGACCCTAAAGGGTTTATCGCTTCCCCATTACTGCCATAAAAATTATAACTCAAATTATGTGTCCGAAAGCGTTTGTCGACCACGAATTTAAAAATTACCAAATGTTGCAATTTTTTTTCCAATATTTATAATTTTTCACGTAATTTTTTTTTTTTTTTTTACATTTCTGGATCAAACAGTTTACATTTATTTTTCCGTAATTGTACGCAGATATTGCGGTAAATTTTATAGGATTTTAAAAATATGGGTAAAAGTGCGTAATACGTCTTATGTCCTAATTAAGGACATTAAAGTTGGCAAAGAGCCATTAAAGTACGTGCCAGCACGTACGCCCCGGAATTATTGTCCTTGCCGTGTCATGAAGGACATCAGAAAGGTCTGTAGTCTTCCATGGTCATGAAGAATATCAAATACCTGCTATCTACCTCGTCCATGGTAGGTTACAACTCTCCTTACATCTCTCGCGGACACTTTCTGAGTTACACTGTTACCTTGTTACCTTGTTACCTTTCATGGTCAACAAGAGCATCCGATCTCGGCTCTTGACTGACTTACGAAGGACGTCAGAATTTTCCACATATCGCCGCCTCTTGCCGTTCCCTGTGGGAGGACCCTGAGTCATGTTGCTATCTTCTGTCTAAACCCTGTTGCTATCTATCCAAATCCCGTTGTTATATATCTAAACCCCGTTGCTATCTATTTAAACTCCGTTGTATCGATCTAAACGCCGTTGCTAACCATCTAAATCTCGTTGGAATCATTTATCTAAGCCCAAATACTATGTATATCTTCTGATGGAAGTCAATAATGCTCTCTTCAATACAGAGAGAATCAAAGCCTCCATATGTTGCTCAGGGTGTTAGATCTCCCAGCAGAACCTCTAACGAAGGACGTTTGATCTTCCTAAGTTAACTCACACGATATTAGTTACGCGAAGACATGTCACGGATGATTCCTCTTGGCTTGTCAAGTTATTCAATGTACTGCCATATAAAATTAGGTAAAATAATAGTGGAAGATGATATTAATACAAAGATTTGGAAAACTGCTGTGGGAGCAGGAAGGAAGATGAGGCAGAACGACCAGTCACACAGGACGACCAGTCACACAGGACGACCAGTCACACAGGACGACCAGTCACACAGGACGACCAGTCACACAGGACGACCAGTCACACAGGACGACCAGTCACACAGGACGACCAGTCACACAGGACGACCAGTCACACAGGACGACCAGTCACACAGGACGACCAGTCACACCGTTGAAGGTGACCAAAAAAATGCTTTTTCAAAAGTGTGTGTGGAACAGTGGAACAGGGAAGGCAGGAGGAAAAAAGAGGACAGGAAATTGGGGACGATGGGGAGAGAGAGAGAGAGATAAACGGGGAAACATTGGAGAAGGCAGCAATGTTACCAAGGCTTTTGCGGTTGATGGGTCAGTTTTGACGGCAGGAAATGGGATTGAAAAGATGTGTGGAGAGGGATTTTTTTTTTTGTTGGGGGGGGGATGAATGGAGGGACGGTGAGGGGGGAAGGGATGGTAGGAGTGTGAGGTGAGAGAGGGCAGAGAGGGAGTTGGGTGGGAAGGTGACTCAGTGGATAACCATTAACCAGCGGATAACAATTAACCACTGGATAACCATTAACCAGTGGATAACAAACGGTAGATAGATAACCAGGGGGCAAAATACCTACCCATATAGGGCTTGGTGCCCGACATCGACGTGGCGAGTTGACCTGGTCTCAAGACAGTAGCGATGTTGAAGTCAGTCAGATGGACGTGACCTGAACGAAGGAAAAGAAAAATATATCAATTACCGGCTCTTCTACAGTGCTGTACACAGACGCACAACTTTCATACCCACTAAACTTTGGCAATTTAGAAGCACCATTAAAAAAAATGCCAGAGTTTTCGATGTTTTTTTTTCTAAATTTTTTCCAATGTTTCAGACCATCTAACATTATATCGTAGCTAGGATAAACAGTGTTGCATTATTCTGTAAATTATCTAAGCAATCCTATATTATCCCACAGTGCTTTGTGACACCTTAATCAAGGTAATCTGCGTTAGATAACATGCAAGGTAATAAGTGTAATGTGACACCTTAACTAAGGTAATTAATGTTACGTGACATCTTGGTTTTAAGGTAATAAGTATTATGTAAAATTTTAGCCAAGATAATCAGTGTTATGCAGCATTTTAGCTAAGGTAATCAGTGTTATGTTACATCTAAGTTAATCAGTGTGACGTGACAGCTAAGGTAATCAGTGTTATGTTACATCTAAGTTAATCAGTGTGACGTGACAGCTAAGGTAATCAGTGTTATGTTACATCTAAGTTAATCAGTGTGACTTGACAGCTAAGGTAATCAGTGTTATGTTACATCTAAGTTAATCAGTGTGACGTGACAGCTAAGGTAATCAGTGTTATGTTACATCTAAGTTAATCAGTGTGACTTGACAGCTAAGGTAATCAGTGTTATGTTACATCTAAGTTAATCAGTGTGACTTGACAGCTAAGGTAATCAGTGTTATGTTACATCTAAGTTAATCAGTGTGACGTGACAGCTAAGGTAATCAGTGTTATGTTACATCTAAGTTAATCAGTGTGACGTGACAGCTAAGGTAATCAGTGTTAAGTGACAGTTAAGGTAATAAGTTATGTAGCATCTTGGCTAAGGTAATCCCTTTTATGTGAGATGATTATGAGAGAAGATGCAGACATTAGGAACGCACGGAAGCTGCATCCTCTCACACGCAGACATGAGGGAGGTACACGGGGTTATATAGGAGCAGAGATGAGTCCGTGCTGGTTAGGAAGGTCAGGTTCACGTAGTCAGGTGTAGGAAGGTCAGGTCCACGTAGTCAGGTGTAGGAATGTCAGGTGCACGTAGTCAGATGTAAAGAAGGTCAGGTCCACGTTGTCAGATGTAGGAAGGTCAGGTCCACGTAGTCAGGTGTAGGAAGGTAAGGTCCACGTTGTCAGATGTAGGAAGGTCAGGTCCACGTTGTCAGGTGTAGGAAAGTCAGGTCCTCGTATTAAGATGTAGGAAGGTCAAGTCCACGTAGTCACGTGTAGGAAGGTCAGGTCAACGTTGTCAGGTGTAGGAAAGTCAGGTCCACGTTGTCAGATGTAGGAAGGTCAAGTCCACGTAGTATAGCCCTTGTGGCTTAGCGTTTCTTTTTGATTATAATAATAATAATAATAAGTCCACGTAGTCAGGTGTAGGAAGGTCAGGTCCACGTTGTCAGATGTAGGAAGGTCAGGTCCACGTTGTCAGGTGTAGGAAAGTCAGGTCCACGTATTAAGATGTAGGAAGGTCAGGTCCACGTAGTCAAGTGTAGGAAGGTCAGGTCCACGTAGTCAAGTGTAGGAAGGTCAGGTCCACGTAGTCAAGTGTAGGAAGGTCAGGTCCATATTATCATCATTATTATCGTTGTTATAGTTACTGAGAAGCATAAATTACCATAGTGGTAATACAACACCTGAAGGAAGAGGCGGAGGTTATCAGGTCTGATCCGAGGAAAGGAGAGGGGTAGCTCCATCTCATTGAATCAGGAGCCCTTGAAAGAAATAATAAGGGCATGGCAGGGCGTTCAACCCCTGCTACCTCCCTGCCAAAGAGACATTTATCTCGGCCTTTCATTTAAGATTCCAAGAAAACATTGTGCAACTTATCAATGTCAGGTCGGTGGCACTGTGAGTGGCACAGTCTGGCACTGCCGGGGATAATCGTGCGCATTTCAATGTTTCCTGTTTACTCTCTGCCACATCGCTGCCAGACGCTTCGGTGCAGTTTTTGTTACATTATTTCCTTGTTTGTGGTTAATATATGTTGATGTCGGAGGCCTCGTAGCAATTTGTATTATATATACATTGATGTTGCATTGATGTTGCATTGATGTTGCATTGATGTTGCATTGATGTTGGATACCTGTGGTAATGCGAGTATAGGCTGTATGAGCCCGACTTCAGTCCTGATTTTTTTTCATCGTGGGCTCGATACTCCGTCCACTAGTCGCAACCAGTCATGGGAATCCTCCTTCCCTCTCTCCCTTTCCTCTTTCCTCCCTCCCCTTCCTCTTCCCTCCTTCGTCTTCCTCTTACCTTCACCCACCTCACAACCCGCATCGATTAGGTACATCAGCGAGGGGGGGAGGGGGGAATGGGAGAGGGGGGAGGGGGAGGGGGGGAGGGGGGAGTGACGAAAGCATTTCGTTAGGTCACTCTCACTGGCATTAACGATCAGCTGAATCGTTAACATAAGACTAACTACATAGTACTAATTATTTATCCATAGTATATATACTATGCACACAGCCAAGCTGAAGGCTTGACCCTCCGTCCGTGTATGTTATTCAACACAAGTAGTGCAGGCTTGTTCCACCGTCCGTTCATGTTAAGAAACATTTCCCTGGCGGCCAGACTCACCCTCGTCCTACCAGACGCAATCTGTCAAGGTCCAGCGGGAACTGCGACGTCTAATCAATGAGAATCGCGTTTAAAACCAACGAGAAACAGAACATTATCAATCCTGGTTATGGACGGCGTCGCGGGGGGCGTTGACCCCCGGTACACCTCCAGGTAAAGTGTGGTCATGACGGGACCGCGGGGGGCGTTGACCCCCGGTACACCTCCAGGTAAAGTGTGGTCATGACGGGACTGCGGGGGGCGTTGACTCCCGGTACACCTCCAGGTAAAGTGTGGTCATGACGGGACTGCGGGGGGCGTTGACCCCCTGTACACCTCCAGGTAAAGTGTGGTCATGACGGGACCGCGGAGGGCGTTGACCCCCGGTACACCTCCAGGTAAAGTGTGGTCATGACGGGACCGCGGGGGGCCTTGACCCCGGTACACCTCCAGGTAAAGTGTGGTCATGACGGGACCGCGGGGGGCGTTGACCCCCGGTACACCTCCAGGTAAAGTGTGGTCATGACGGGACCGCAGGGGGGCGTTGACCCCCGGTACACCTCCAGGTAAAGTGCGGTCATGACGGGACCGCGGGGGGCGTTGACCCCCCGGTACACCTCCAGGTAAAGTGTGGTCATGACGGGACCGCGGAGGGCGTTGACCCCCGGTACACCTCCAGGTAAAGTGTGGTCATGACGGGACCGCAGGGGGGCGTTGACCCCCGGTACACAAGGTAAATTGTATGCATTACACTTTTTTCTAATTTTAGCGTTTATATTCTAATTGTTTCATATATTTTTAATGTAGTCTGGTGAACAACAATATACTCGCAGTTTCTCAGTTTTTCAGAGATTTTTTTTTTTAGCTCTAATACTCGAGGGAAATTTTAGAGGAAAAATACTATAGCCAATAATTCTATGATTTATTTTCATCTGTAAATTTTATATTAGTGTCGTGTGGCAACGACGACCATAATTGTAACGACAATAACTGTCGTTTAGTAACGACCATAACTGTCGTTTAGTAACGACCATAACTGTCGTTTAGTAACGACCATAACTGTTATTTAGTAACGACTATAACTGTCGTTTAGTAACGACCATAACTGTCGTTTAGTAACGACCATAACTGTCGTTTAGTAACAACCATAACTGTCGTTTAGTAACAACCATAACTGTCGTTTAGTAATGACCATAACTGTCGTTTAGCAACGAGGACCATAGTTGTCGTTTAGCAACGAGGACCATAGTTGTCGTTTAGCAACGAGGACCATAGCTATCGTTTAGCAACGAGGACCACAGCTGTCGTTTAGCAACGAGGACCATAGCTGTCGTTTAGCAACGAGGACCATAGTTGTCGTTTAGCAACGAGGACCATAGCTATCGTTTAGCAACGAGGACCATAGCTATCGTTTAGCAACGAGGATCATAGCTGTCGTGTAGCAACAAGAACCATAGCTATCGTTTAGCAACGAGGACCATAGCTGTCGTATGGCAACGAGGACCATAGCTATCGTTTAGCAACGAGGACCATAGCTATCGTTTAGCAACGAGGACCATAGCTATCGTTTAGCAACGAGGACCATAGCTATCGTTTAGCAACGAGGACCATAGCTATCGTTTAGCAACGAGGACCATAGCTATCGTTTAGCAACGAGGACCATAGCTATCGTTTAGCAACGAGGACATAGCTATCGTTTAGCAACGAGGACCATAGCTATCGTTTAGCAACGAGGACCATAGCTATCGTTTAGCAACGAGGACCATAGCTATCGTTTAGCAACGAGGACCATAGCTATCGTTTAGCAACGAGGACCATAGCTATCGTTTAGCAACGAGGACCATAGCTATCGTTTAGCAACGAGGACCATAGCTATCGTTTAGCAACGAGGACCATAGCTATCGTTTAGCAACGAGGACCATAGAGAGACATCATTGAAGAATGTGAGCGCCTGAGTCTCAGTGATCTACCTAATCGTATTATTGTCTGTAGTGTTGTGTGATGCTAGGCACTGTGTTGCAGTGTTGTGTGATGCTAGGCACTGTGTTGCAGTGTTGTGTGATGCTAGGCACTGTGTTGCAGTGTTGTGTGATGCTAGGCACTGTGTTGCAGTGTTGTGTGATGCTAGGCACTGTGTTTGCAGTGTTGTGTGATGCTAGGCACTGTGCTGCAGTGTGTTGTGTGATGCTAGGCACTGTGTTGCAGTGTTGTGTGATGCTAGGCACTGTGTTGCAGTGTTGTGTGATGCTAGGCACTGTGTTGCAGTGTTTGTGTGATGACTAGGCACTGTGTTGCAGTGTTGTGTGATGCTAGGCACTGTGTTGCAGTGTTGTGTGATGCTAGGCACTGTGTTGCAGTGTTGTGTGATGCTAGG